AAAAAAAAAAAATCGCTTCGAAGTAAAAGCCTTGCTAAAATATAAAGGGCTTTTGCGAAAACGAAAATATTTAGTTAAATAAATAAATTACAACGAATCGGAAAATTCGTAAATTTTAAAAAAGGATATTACGAAAAAAATTGTTTAAGCGTATAAAGCAAATTTATTGGAAACGAGCTTATAGGATAAGGAAAATACCGGACTTTAGCGGGTAAATACCCGGAAAAGACGGGGGTATTACAGGAAAAAAATAACAAAAGCCAAAGGAATGGCCCAAAAAAATGTTTTAACGTGCCAAACCGGCTGGCTACCGAAAAAAAACGTAAAAAAACCCGTAAGCGGCTTGTAATAACCGTAAAATATCGTGCCCTATAAACAAAAAGTTAAATAAGGACGGTATAGTACGGGGAACGCCCCAAATTAATGGTACGATATATTTAAATCCCGAAGGACATACAAGGTATAGCATACTTCGAAAAGCCCGTAAAGGGCATGTTTAGCGCAACACGTTAAAATAATTACCGCATTTTAAACGTACGTTATGGTAAAAAACATTATTGCTTGCCCGGAAAGGAAATGGAAAAACCTCCGGATAGTACGGCGGACGGGCTTAAGCGTTCGGGTAACGGCAAATGCATGTCGGCGGGATTTAAACCCATTGGAAGGGCGAAAAAAAAGCATTTTAAAACTATTTACTAAAGCATTAAAACCCAATTGGTAATTAAAGACATTAGGACTTCGCAATATTGCAAAAGCAGCATAACGAAAGGAAATTATGGTTTTAAAAGTTTTAGCTATAACAAATTAACGAAAAAAATTTAAAATTAATTACCTTTCGAAAAGGGAATACCAATAACTAATTAAAAAAACATGTAAAGAAAATCGATTAAATGCCGTATTTAAAAGAACCAAAACCTCCGAAAACCACGTTTTTTTTGCTAGCGTTACAATCGTTACCATTAAAATCGTCGGCGCCGAAAGCGGCACTTTCCGGCGCCAATACGAACGCCGCACCCTTACGGGAAGCCGCGCAATTATAAGCTTAAGTATTTAAATGCGCCGCAATCGTAACAAAGCTAACGGCAATGCTACCAAAAAAAGCAACCACACTTTCCTCGAAACGTTTAAAAAACGCTTTTACCTCGTTAAAAAAATTACCGATGCCAACCAAAGCTTAAGCTTGCCTTTTCGTTTAAACGGCAATAACGTAAAGCTATTAAAAAATATTTTAAATAATTTTTAATATCGTAACGTTAGCAATTTTGCGCTAAATGCGCTTTTAAATAACGGCTTAACGTTTATAACGCGCAAATTGTTTAACCAATATGGTATAAAAGGATTTAACCTTTTAAATAGCCTTGCGAGCGCGAAATTAAATTTTGGTAAGCTTTTCGAAAAGCTTCGGTATCGCTTTGGGCAACCGTTTGTAAACGGTATTTAAAATTTTGTAAAGGTTTTAAGCCATTTCCCAAAACCATTCGAAAAGCTTAACGCAAGCTTTGTTACTAACCACGTCCTTGCAATAAATATATTTAAAAAACCCCGTACAATTATCGGAGCATATCGGTACACGGGGGTTAACGGCATAATTTTAATATGCTTAACGACCAAAATAACGGTTACAAAATACCGTACGCTCCGTATAATTGTTTTTAAAAAAGGGCAAATAAATAAAGTCCTAATTATTGCTTTATTGGAAATCGATAACTTTCCGCAACGGGAACGCGTTGCAAATACTTATATAAAGCAAAAAAAAAGCAATGTTCGTTTTGGGAGCAAATCCATTAAAATTAAAAGCGTTACGGCGGCGTTTGTTGCGCGCTTTACGTTTTTTTTCGGCGAAAGTTTTTTTATTGCAACGGTTAAAACCCGCCGGGGGGTTACCGGTAAAACGTTTGCGGGAATCTTAAAAAGCTGCAAGCGCAAAAGGGCCCAATGGACCCGCAATATTTAAAAAGCTTACCAAAAGGTTACCGGCAAAACGATCGTTAAGGATTTAAAAAATTAAAAGTTTCGGCAAAACCGAATCCAAATCCAATTAAATTACGATAGCTAAAAAAAATACCGGGGGGTTGCTAAAAAAGGTTAACGGGCCGGTTGGAACCGAAAAACCCGAAACAAATACCCAAAAGAACATTATTTTCCTTACGTAATTGGGTACGAAAAATAACATTTATAGCTACCGGTTAAATTTAAATGTTTAAAAAAAACGGCCAAATACCGATTACTTACGGTTACAATCGTTAAAATTGTTAAAATGGTTATTAAATGTACAAAAAGGAAAAAAAAGGGTTTGTAATTTCGAACGGGAAAAAAAGCTTTTTATATGCCGGTACGAACCCATTTTTTTAAATGCTACAAAGCTTTATAACCGGTTTCCCCAAGCATTGCCGGGCATCGAAGCGGTTTAACGAAATACCGTAAGCTACCGGCTACTTATAAGGTTGTACGCGCGGCATAAACGGCTTGGAATAAACCGTATCGGGAAAAGGCAATATGTTAAAAGTACGGGCGAAACCGCCCGGCAAAAAACGGAAAGCGTTAAATGTACGGGCAAAACCGCCCGGTAAAAAAAAAAAAAAAGCGTTAGCAATTAACCAAGCACAAACCCCCCAAAAATATGCCGGCAAATTACCGGTATCGCGGCCAAAGCATAATAGCGAAATTAAAAAATAAAGTAAAGTTTAAATTGTACGAAAGCGTTTGGAGCGCGGAAAATTTAAAAAACCAACCCCGGGTGCTTAAAAGGGCACAAAGGAAAGGGAGGTTAAAAAAGGAACAATTTTTATTAACGATAGCACTTTTGGTAAAAGATTTACGGAAGCTTAACAAAAGAAATACCGCATCCGGCCCGTAACCCGGTAACCACCCGCCTTTGCACCGATTAACCCTTAACAAAGCAGCGATACCCCCGTGGCCGAAATGCATTCGATAAACGAAGTTTACGTACGAAACCCAAGTGTTAAAAGCACGGGCAAAACCGCCCGGCAAAAAGCGGGAAGCGTTAAATGCACAAACGAAACCGCCCGGTAAAAAAGGAAGGAAAAGGCGCTAGCAACCAACCGGGCACGAACCTTTTCGGGAATATACCGGCAAATTACCGGTATTGCAGCTAAAGCATAACGGCAAAGTTAAAAAATAAGGTAAAGCTTAAATTGCACGAAAGCGTATAAAACGCGGAAAATTTATAAAACCGATCCCGCGTACCCAAAAAAGTACGAAAAAAAGAAAGGTTAAAAAAGGAATAATTTTTGTTAAAAATAATACTTTTGGTAAAAAATTTACGGAGGTTTAATAAAAAAAATACCGTATCCGGCCCGTAACCCGGTAATTACCCGCTTTTGTACTAATTAACCTTTAATATATTATTTTTTTTTATACCTTTTTTATTTAAAGGAGCAAGCCCGGGTAATTACCAAAAGGGATTAAGCAAATTTAAAAAAAGCATTTGCAATTTCGCACCGTTTACGATAACGCCCGACGCTACGTTAAACACGTTGGAAAGGGCCGTTAGGTTATTAAAACAAAATACCAAAAAAGCTTTGCAAATTTTTAACGATTTCGAAAACCTTTTCGTAAAGGAATTGCAAAAAATAAATAACGCGTTAAAAGTTTAAAGCAAGCGCGCCCGCTTAATTTAAAAAATCCAAAATAAAGGATTAAAGCATGCGCATAAAAGCTTAAACAAAAATAAAAAAAATACTTTTAAGCAACGAAAAGGTTTTACATAAAGCAAAGTTATTTTTAAACCTTTTATATTTAAAAAGTTAGCAATTTGGTAAAATATTGCCCATTACATTAATAATTACAAATTCATTTTCGAAAACGAAAAGGAACGTTACGGTAAGGACCGTGTAAAGGTTTAAATAGCTTTTAGCATTTTTAACCATTATTAACGAGCGCAATGGATAAAATACAAGCAAATGCATTATTTAAATACCGGGGTATTGCTTATTTAAACCGATTTTTTGCGGTAATTTTAAGCAAAATCGAAAAACCTTAATTCGTAAATGTGGCTGGCAATTAAAAAGTTTGCGGGAAATACCGTTATTAAATAAAAGGATTACAAATTATTCGAAACGTTCCGGATTTATTGGGATTTAGTAAAGGACGACCTTTTCGAATTAATATTTAAATGGATAAAAACGACATTGCTTTTTAACCGGTTCCGCCTTAAAATTTAAAAACGGGTAATATTTAAAAGCCTTTTTCACATTATGGAAAAATTGCAAATTAAAGTTTTTAAAGCAAAAATAATATCGGAATTGTACAAAAGGATGCCGGGGGATATAAATGTTTTAACTTTTAAAAAGCCGGTTATTTGCTTTAAATGCGGGCAATTAAATTATATCGTTGCAATATGCAAAATACGGACGGATAACCCGGAAACCCCGTTGGTTTTAGCAATTATATAAAAAGCGAAAGGGAAAAGGCCCGAAGTACGGTGTTACGGGTATAAAAAGTTAGGCTATATTTAGCCGGCGTGTTTTAAAAAAAGCAAAATATTGTTACCCAATTCGATACCGTTATTTGGCCGTTTAAGCACCGGGGCTTAAAAATGCGCCCCGGCGGCCAAAACGCGTTAAAAAACCGAAATGTATTTACGGATTAACAATTGCCAGGTAAAATTAAAAGCGTTGGTTAATAATAAAAACAACGTTAATTTGTTGCATAACCGTTTTTTAGTAAAGGCAAGAAAAATACCGGTGCTAAACGGGGGCTATTTAGCGTAATTCGATACCAAAAAACGCATATTTACGCTAAGGGTAACAAAGTACAAAATTTGGGTAATAAATAATTAAAAAATAACCCGAAAGTTAATAGTATTTTACGTGGTAATGCCCCGGGCCGGGTACAATATTACGTTAAGCATGCTTTAGCTTTAGCAAAAGGATATTAAAATCCGGTTTGGGGATATAAAGTGGAAATTTCCGGTAATTACCAAAAAGGTTAAAATAATTTCGCCGGAAACAATTAAAAAATTAATTTAATTGGGATAAACGATAACCGTGCTAACGGTTATACGCCCGGAAACCCCGGAAAATTTTAAAAAAAGGCTAAAAGCTTTTCCGGAATGGGTTAAAAAAATAATTGCAAAATATGCGCAATTTTATAAATTAAACCTTTTGCTAAAATATATAAGCTAAAATTACGCGATTAAATTAAAGGAAAAAACGATGCCGCTTTACGAAAACATTTATTTTTTATTTAAAAAGGAATTAAAAACTTTTCGGGGGTATTTCGACAAAGCTATAACAAAAGGTTAGATTTGGCATTTAACCAATTTCGCCGGCGCCGGGATTTTATTTGTTTTAAAAAAGAACGGAAAGCTTTGCTTTTGTATTAATTATCGGGGTTTTAATAAAATTATTAAAAAAAACCGGCTAACATTTCCGTTAATTTACGAAATATTTAACCGGGTATTTAAAAATTAGTATTTTATTAAACTGGATTTAAAAAACGCTTATTACAAAATACGGATCCGATAAAAAAACGAATAGAAAATTGCTTTCCGTTGCAAATATGGATATTACGAATATTTAGTAATGCTTTTTGGCTTGGCCAACGCTTTAGCAACGTTTTAAAGCTTTATTAATATAGCGTTTGGGGAATTAATTAATAGCAATTGCATTGTATATTTAAACGATATCCTTATTTTTTCGAAAATATAAAAAAAGCACCGTAAGGTAATAAAAACGGTACTAAAGCGATTTAAACGGTTTAAGCTTTACGTTAACCCGGTTAAATACGAATTTAAAACGGATAATATCGATTTTTTAAAATTTAGGATAACCAAATTTGGGGTCGAAATTTTGCTGGATAAGGTTGTTGCAATTTTAAAATGGAAAATACCGAAAAGCGTTAAGGATATTTAGGTATTTTTAAGCTTTACGGGATATTATCGGAAATTTGTAAAGGGTTACGCAAAAATTATTGTGCTTTTAACGGACCTTTTTAGCAAAAATACCGTGTTTTACTTAAAAAATGTTGCGAAAAAGGCTTTTTGCAAATTAAAGCTATTGTTTACGAAAGCTCCGGTATTAGTGCATTTTAACCTTTCGAAATCGTTGTGCGTGCGGATTAACGCTTTAGCTTTTGCAATAAGGGCGGTGCTATTGCAATTGCAAAACGGCCGTTGGCACCCGGTAACTTACATGTTAAAAAAGCTACAATAAAAAAAGCTGCGCTATACAATTTTTAATTTAAAATTGCTAGCGATCGTAAAAGCTTTCGAAAAATGGCGGCATTATTTAGCTTATTTATAAAAAATTGTTAAAATAATTACCAACCATTTAAACCATACCCATATTTTAACAAAGGAAAAAGTAATAAAGCGTTAAGCAAAATGGTTTAAAAATTTAGCAAAGTACGATTTTACGATTAAATGGAAGCTAAAATACCGGAACCTTACGAATGGTTTATTAAAACGTTTTTAAAATATGCCCGTAAACGGGGAAGTTAATATAGCAAAAGAAAAATTCCGAAGCAATTTATTGGTTAAATTCCGAAAAGCAATTTACGTAAGGATAACCATTATTAAAAGGGATACCAAAACGATATTAAAGCGCATTTTTAAAGCACAAATAAAGGACGATTTTATTTAAAGCGGTATTTAAAAAAACAAGCTTAACGTTTGGAAAATTAGTAACGGCTTGCTTAAGTACAAAAAAAAAATTTAAATCCCGAATTTAACGCCGTTGCAACGGGCAATGCTTTGGAAACAATACGATAACCCAACGGGGGGTTACAAAAGCATGGCTAAAACTTTAAAAAAGCTTAAACGGTAATTTAAATGGCCGGGTATGGCTAAAAACGTACGCAAATACGTACGGACGTATTAAATATGCCAATAAATAAAACCGAAAATATAAGCACTTTATAAATTATTAGCATTTATGCCCGTACCAAACCGCCCGGAATAAAAATTATCGATAAATTTTATCGGAAAATTCCTAACATTAATAAATAAAACCGGCAAAAAGCGCAACGCAATATTGGTAATGGTTAACCGGTTTACCAAATACAGTTTTTTTATCCCAACGTTTACGAAATTAACCAATAAAAAATTGGGGAATTTTTTATTTGCATACGTTTAAAAGCTTTTAAAAACGCCCGAAAGGATTGTATTAAACCGAAACAAGCTATTTATAAGCGGGTTTTGGATAATTTTCGCTGGATATTTAAGGGTTGCAAAAAGGCTATCGATAGCATATTATTTTTAAACCAATAAGCAAACGGAACGAACGAACCAAACAATAAAACATTATTTCCGGTGCTTTTATTGCGAAAAATAAAACGATTAAACGTTGTTATTGCATTTAGTAACGTAAATGTACAATATAAACGTGCATTTGGGGTTGTAAAAAACCTTAACGTTTTTATTAATAAGGTTTTACTTACAAAGGCTTTATAATTTTTGGGTGGTTAAAAAAAAACCTTTAGCAACGGCCGAAATTAAAGCGGGGGCCCTGGAAATAATTAAAAAGCAAGCCAAAAAATTGCTAAAAAAAGCGAATAATACGTACAAAAAGTACTATAACAAAAGCAAAACCCCGGTGCTTTTCGGGGTAAGCAATTAAATATTGCTAAATACAACAAACATTAAAATAAAAAAGCCGTTAAAAAAGTTGTTAAACAAATGGTTAGGACCTTTCCAAATTTTAAAAATGGTTGGGTTAATTGGTTTGGCGTTCCGGTTAAAGCTTTCGGTAAATTACCGAATATATAACGTATTTCCGGCAAATTTATTGCGGGCGTTTAAAAAAAAGCCCGGCGAAAAATTAAAAAAAAAACCCAAAAATCGAAAAAAAAAAAATTAGCTTAAGG